TTTTTTTTTTTTTTTTTTTTTCTTCTCATTTTTGTTTGGAACACGACATTTGTGATTATCCGTTGACTTGACATGAAGAAATTTTTAATTTTGATCCTCTGACTTGATGCCATTTTCGATTCCGATCCATCAATTTGACAAACTTCAATTTCGATACACATTTCGTTACATGATTCACTTCACCAAAACAACCTCATATTTCGATACTTTTTTGACAACTTCACTGAAAAGAAATGAAATTAGCAAATACTGAAAACAGAGAGACAATTTATTGTTCATATCGAAAAAGATCCTCAACATCAACACACCAGTCTCCTCATATAAACTAACAAATAACACAAAAACCCGGGTTCTCCTCTGTGCAGTAAACATGATGATACTGCACGCTTTGAGGATAATACTTTCGTAGCTCGAGGAGCTCGTCAATTATTTCACTTTCTTTGGCCCCATCAGTTTTCTCACCATCATCTCCACTTTTGTTTTCCTTTTCCTTTTCCTTTGCAGGCTCTTCGGCTGGACTCATAGTTAGCAGCTCTGTATGAAAATATTTCCTTAATTTGGCCACTATTAAAACTGGGTCAACATCTCCCTTTACTGTTAGCCTCTTCTCCTTCATGTCTATAGCAAGAAACTCAATCCCTGGACGTGTTAACACATTTTATAAGATACTTAAACTCGACATGGATTGCTACTGTTAGGCAGTCGAACTATAATTCTTCTTTCTAGAGCAGCTAGAAAGACATTCGGGCTCTAGAAAGAGATTCTTTTTAACCCGAAATAATTCAGTGCAGATGTAGGATACATATCCCGAGTTTTCACATCTCAATCATAGATGACGGAACGACAAAAGATTTGACCTTTTTGAAATATACCGAGTTTTCGCATCTCAATCGTAAATGATGAAATGATCAAAGATTTGACCCTTTTGAATTTTTTCGCGTTTTCAATAGTAATAAATAAATGTACACTTATATTATGAAATGTCATATTTATGGTTGTGTAATAGTTAGACAGTCTAACAGATAGACCAACGGATTATAAAATTAATTAAGGGACAATTTATAAAAATAAACAATTGAACTTCTTTATAAATTTTAGGAAAATAAATGGGTTTGTTTGATTTTATAGTGAACTAAGATGAGTGTTATTGTAATTAGTTGAATATGCAATTGAAAAAAAAAAATAAAAATAGTGAAATGCAGTACCATAAAAGCTAGAAACTGTCTTCATTGCCTTTTGCTTCTCTTTCTCATCACGAATTAGTACCTTTAATTCCACTTTCTGCAGGTTGAAAAAGGGGGATTTCAATAATTATAACAAAAATAAAATAAACTATAATAAGATTGTTGCGACGAAAGGTCTAACGCTTATGCAGTCATACTTTTAAATATGCATTTCGTTAAAAGAATAAGAAGAGCCGACCCACCTAACGGTTAGACCGCTCCAAATTTATGGAGAAATAGAATAAAAAAGATGTGCAATGTGCATGCATGGGGTAAAACTTATTGATCACTAGTCAATTTTCAAGTAATTAATTAACCCTCAAAAGATTAAATTATGCACAACTGACAGCTTATAAGTACAAACAAAAATCAAATAAACTTGAATATTAAAATAAAAAAAAATTGAAAAAGATAAGAAATGGTGAGGAAATCCCACATTGGCCATCTATGGGAAAGTTGAGAATACTTTGATTTTTGTGTGGAACTTGAAAGAGCCTTTAAATGGCTCTCAACTTTTGAAGTTTTGAGATTGAATGCAAAAATCAAAACAGAATGATAGAATTTATATATGTGTGCGTGCGTGTGTGTGTGTGTGTGTGTGTGTGTGTGTGTACTAGTCTGTGGTAGAAGTTGGGGGGTAATTTCATTGTTTGACAATTAATAGTACTATGATGATGATAAGTTGACTACCTCTATAATTATATAACTAGCTATTCAACTCGGCGTGTGGGGTGGGCTAATTCGCCTCCAACATGTCGGAAGACCTTGACGAGAGAGAAAATGGGAATGAGAACAACGTTTTTTATTTTTATATGCATTGTGAAAATTTATGGGAGTATGTAGAGTTATTACGTAAATGTGTAAGAACATATTTGAATTAAAAGCGGAAACGACTATTTAAACAAATTAGTTTCGAAGAGTGTCTCACTATCCATCAGATTAAATATGTCGAGCATCTACATGATGTATAGTTTGGAATTACGTACATATATAGAACTCTCTATTGGAATATCACTAGTGAGTTGTCCCACATTGATTCTATAGGTTAAATAGGCCTAGTTTATAAGCTTAGTGGGATACTCCTCCCATCACCAATTTGTTTTGGGATGGTGTTTGTCTTATTTTTGTTATCTTTTTTTTTTTGTTTATTTGTTAGTTTTTACCCCCAATTTTAGGAATCTTTTAGTTCTTTTGGTCCACTAGTCGTTCGTTTCGCATGTGTGCCGTTTATTTCTCGCTTTCGATATTTTCTGTTGTCTTGCATGTTTTTGCGTGCTTTTCTTGCCTTTGGTGGTGTGTAGGTCCCGAACTTTCATCGCACATTTGGAGGAAGAGTAACCGAGCAGCGTACGTCCTGGCCTTCGACACGAATCAACCCGAACTCACCTTTCCAGTCGCCGCGCCGCGGGGGTGCCATGTCCTTCACAGAACCTCAGAATCCAAGCGTCGCGCCGCGACGAACTCCCTTGGCACGCCGTGTTCCAGCCTCGCGCCGCGGTGGAGGCATCTGTCACGCCGCGAGACCCCCACAACCCCGACAGAAGAAGATTTTCTAGGCGCCGCGCCACGGAGAAAACTTCACTGCCACGCCGTGACATCTCCATCTGCCGCGCCGTGGCAGGCATCGCGCCGCAGCACCTGGAAGCTTAAGTTTCGAAACCGTTTTTTTTTTTTTTTTTTTTTTACGTAATTTGGCGATGGGAATAAAGAGGATATCGAGCCTAGGGCAGAAAAAACATTCCGTACTTTTATTTTTGATTTTCTCTCTCGACCAAAAACATACTTCTCATCTTCTTTCTTTTCTTTCACTGGGATTTAAGCTTGTAAGGTGAAAAACTTTAAGATTTCGTTTTCGAATTTCATTCTCGGATTTTGATTGCTCATTGTTTTCGACATTGGTTTTCTTATAAAACTTAAGCATCTTTTCTCATTTTGTTATGATGTTGTGTGCTTGGGTTGATGTGAATTATTGTGTTGAATTTGCAATGAGTGGCTAGATTCGTTAACTAGGGTTAGGAGATAATTGTTTCGGTTCGTTTTCGTTTACGTGTATGTTAATTGCTCTGTCTTTGCGAGTTGTGCTAATCCTAGGGTTAGATGATTGATCACAATCCTAATCTAGTAAATTTATTTTTAGAACCGAGAGGGGAAAAATCGATCGAATCTAGACTCGTTAAAAATAGACTTGTTCGGTAACGTATTGTCTATGTGCTAGTCGATTCGATAATTGTTCGTTTATGTTTATTCTCTTGTTTCGTGAGATATTGAGAATGAATCTCTAGATGAATTAGTTTTTTGAACTCTTAAGCCGAGTAGTTGATGCCCGTTAAATGCTTTAGAACCGAAAACGATTGTCCCCGACACCCTAGTCTCTTTATCATTATTTGAATTTGAGCTTTGAATTGTGAGTTTGAAATAGCTAGCCTCGTTCTTATTATTCGTAGTTGATAAAATCAAACCAAATCAATCTGATTAGAGTGTTAGGATTATTTTCTCTTTTGTGATTGAATATTCGCACAATTTAATCCGACTAACCTTCCTTGAGAGACGACCCGGTGTTTGAATCTTTTGATTTAACTCCGGTAAAAATACTTACTATTATTTTTAATTGATGATATGTTGCATCAATTGGTAACATCCACTTAAATGTGGTGGTGTTACAACTTCATCTCCATTATGTATGGAGTTATGAAGTGAGTTATGAAGTGAATTCATGTCTTCATTAAGTGTGAAGTCATGTCTTCATTAAGTTAATAGTTGTATTAAGACAACTATAAATAAGGTGCTTGTGTGCATCTTGAAAAGTGAACAATACGAGACAAGAAAACAAGTTATAGAAAATACATAATCTTTATATAGTGCTTTTCTCTTGTTGAGCCGAAACCATCAAGGCGGCTCGGGTTTTAGAACGTGGAGGATACCGACGACTCTAGTAGCCGTCGGATAAAAGATATACGGGCAAGTAATCACTTCCGCTACATAAAGGTCAGTCCTATATATATTTATATATGTGTTATATAAAACCACTAACAGTGGTATCAAAGCCCGTTTATTCCTCCGACGTTTTTTTGTAAAACAAATATATTTATATATTTGTTACATAAAATTCATTCTATTGATTAACTAAGTGTTAAATATAGAATGTGCCATTCATGAATTTGTGATCATGAAAATGACATAAAGAGATAATAAAAAAAAATGATATATGGGGGAATAATTAGGTTTTGTGGCCTAATTATTATATGAACAAAGAATAAAAATTATTATTATTATTCTTTGTTTAATAATAATATTTGTTATTATTATGATATTTATATGGTATTCATGTTTAACATTACGTAAAGATTATTTTAAAATTATCATAATATTTGTTATTATGATGAAAAGAATAAATCAATATTTTAGTAATATTGTGTGACTTCTTATTATTATTTAAATTATCTAAGTGATATTTAAATAATTATTTAATATGATACATGAATATATGTTATTCATGTTATTAGACGTAAATATCTTTGTGATGTTTATATTTATTTATATAATACATGAATATATGTTATTCATGTTACGAGACTTAGTAGATACTTTTGTGATGTTTATAATTATGATACATGAATATTTGTTATTCATGTTAAGAGACTTAAATATCTTTGTGATATTTATATTTGTGTTTATTTGTGAAACAATAACATGAATAAATGAATATGTTTCACTAAAATAAAGTTAATTAAATTATATTTATTTTTTGTTTGTGTTATTTGTGATGATTATGAGCTTGGCGAAATTTTCGAACTCATGGCATAAACAAAAATAAAAATAATAATTTAATTATATTGACCTCATGCCTAAAATCCATTTTATATACTTGTAGATGACAACTAAATCTATTTGGAGATTTATCTTCCAACGAAAAGCTAGATGGTACCAATTACGACATCTGGCATAGGAAGATTCAGTATCTTTTTAATGAACGCGAGGTTTTGGAAACCTTGTCCACTACTGTGATTGAGCCAAAGTATACTGCCAGTGCGCAGTACAAGGAAGAATTGACAACCTATCAGACGTGGTCCAAAAAGGATCGTTCTGCACGCTATACCATGTTGTATTGCATGCATAATGACCTTATTGGAGAATTTGAAAATTGTCTCACGGCTAAAGACATGTGGGACAAGCTTAAGGTCACCTTCGGGCAAACTTCGGCTACTAGGCTCCGTGCCTTGAACTTAAAGTGGATGGATTACAATATGGATCCTAAACACTCTGTTGCCGAACATTTGCGTGTCATGAGTGCCATGATACGTGACCTGAAAGCTGCGGGACGAGATGTATCTGACGAGGAGCAAGTTCTAAATGTGGTTCGTTCACTTCTAAATGATTCTGAGAATTGGAAGAACTTCAAGCTCCTCATGGCTCATAGTGAGAATGTAAAAACTTTTTCAGAACTCGCTAAACATATTGAAATGGAAGTAGAACGTCAGAGAACGTTAGCACCTTCCATTGTTGCATTTGTTGCCCATGGCGGCCAAGCCAAGGGAAATAAACGCAAACGAGCCAAGAAATTTTCTCGTCATTCTCAAACTTCTGGATCAAATGGTGGTTCAAAGAAAAAACAACTTATGGCACATGGCCAAAGGGAGAAGAAAATAGCACGTGTGAAGTGCTATAATTGTGGACAGAAAGGTCATTTCGCTCGTGATTGTGCTGAGCCGAAAAAGGTACCTTCTACCACTAACTCTTTTGAACTATTTGTTTGTTCTCATGCATTAGTTGCTAATTCTATTCCTAATTGGATTATAGATACGGGAGCAAGCAAGCACATAGTTCATGAAAGATCTGGATTTGTGGAGTTTCACCGGTTTCCTATTGGCACTCAAACTGTCATGTTAGGAAATGAGAGCGAGGAAGATGTCCTTGGGGTTGGAACATACCAACTTAAAATCCATGGTGGAAATACACTACTCCTGCATGATACTCTCTATGCACCCGGGGTGCGAAGTTGTTTACTTTCAGTTGTTTCCTTGTTAAAACTTGGTTTTTCCTTTAACTTCAATACTAGCGGTTTGGACATTTTGTATCATGACAATTTATTCGGACATGGTATTTTAAAGAATGGTTTCTTTGTTCTTGACTTGAATGAAAGTTATAATGACTCATCACATGCTTTTGCTTCATTTTATAATGTTGATTCTGAATCTGTTAAATGGCATGCGCGACTTGGTCATATTGGTCAAGATAGAATGTCAAGACTAGCTAAAGAAGGACATTTCGGACAATTAACTAAGGTTAAATTGCCTAAATGTGATCCTTGTCTAGCTGGAGAAGCTACTAAAAAGCCTTTTGGTAAGGCATCAAGAGCATCAAATCCTTTAGAGCTGATTCATTCTGATATTTGTGGGCTTTTAAATATAAAAGCTCGTCATGGGGCTACATATTTTATTACCTTTA